ACTCTACAAAATGCCACTTCCTCTCAAAAAGTTGAGGAGGCTAGAAATAGCATAATTAGTGGTGAAATAAATAAATTAAGAAGTGAAAATTCTAGTTCTACAAAATTAAGTATCGGTCTTGGAGTTGTAACCATTGGTAGTCTGCTCCTTTTGGGTTGAGTGCTAATGCGACAAGCCGATTTGCCGGAAGAAGGACCGAAGAAAGAGGAAAAATAGATATAGATATTTTACCGGAGGTTAAAAATAGATAAAATATTTTGGGGGGGTGGTTTTATCCCCCCTACAAATTATAAATTATGATTACCGAAAATTATTCTTTAATTCACCCGAGTGAAATTCTCGAAGTAATTATTAAAACCATATAAAATTTAACGCCGAGCAACTGCACTAGAGTTAAGTAGAACCACAAGTAATTCAGAATTAATAAATGAGCGGGGGTGTTGTCCGCTGATTTAACTATTTAACTCTCCACTTCCAAATTGGACCGAATTTTGAGTGAACCCGTCTCGAAGGATACGAAAAAAATTGAGATGTATTTAACCTCCTTATCTTTTTAAGAAACCGCAACAAACGATAACCCACTAAAAGAACATTTTAAGGAAATTCCCGAATTGAGAGGCTTCCATCGTTGTTCCTGAATAATAAGCGACTATTTTGGGTTCCGTCAAAATAAACTCCATATTTAGCATTAACTATTTGCATAGCCGGTATTAATTGATGGCGAATGGCTGAATTTTTATTTTCTTTGGAGTAATTTTTTTTCACTTCGGCGACACAGATAAATTTCTTTTGTTCTTTGATTACTAAATCAACTCGGAGAGTATTATGTCCTTTATGTCCGATTGGTATTGCGTATTCAATAATAAACTGATGTTTAGGATAACCTTTTTGTAAAAGATACTTAATTAATCTAATTCTTTGATATTCCTCGGTATAATGGCCTTTCGCATCATATTTTCGGACTCGTAGAGGACCACGAATGGGACAGATTAAGAAGCCTTTTGGTCGCTTCTTTTTCTCAATTT